AGTGGAGGCTGTGTCAGCCAATTACCCCCAGGTGCCATCTGGCCACCCTGTGAACGCCCCAAGGGGAGCTCAGGCTCCAGAGTATGACTGAGACCACAGCAATGAGCTCTGTCCTAAGCACCAGTTGGTTTCACAATCCTCCTGAATGTCCCTGGAGCCAAGGCCTGGGCTGGGCATAGGAGGGGCAGGGGAGGCAAGGGTTAATCCAGGGGGCCCTGTCAATCTGATGGGGGAAGGGAACGCACACCCATGACTCAGACAGATTGAGAAATAAGAGCGATGAAACATAACCCCACTGGGGTGCCAGAGGAACAATAGGGCTGGTTCTAAGAGAAGATGTGAAGGCAACTTAAATTGGATAAAAGGAAATTGGGTTAGATCAGAGAGAGATCCAATAGCGGTTATATGGGAAAAAAAAATCTGGAATCTAGTTCTCAATTTAAGATCTAAGGAGTCTTCCTTGTCCCTTCTTGACCTGTTCCTAATAACTGATCACATTTTGATGCTGAATCAGAGATGCTGGGGTAGCAAATGTCTTGACCAGAGGTTTCTTGGTTTGGATGAATAAGCCTCTTCTGCTATTAAAAGAAAACAAAAACAACAGCAACCAAAAACCTTAGGAAAGACCATCTTCCAAACCACACCTAAAACCTTCCTGTGCCATCTCCCTGGACCTTCTTCTCCACTTCCCAGTTAGCATCTTTCCTCCTCTTAATCCAGGAATGGTTTTCTGGAGAAACCTTTTAGCTCTGGCTGAAAGTCACCTCCCAGCACCTGTGACCAGAGCCCTCACTGGCCTTAAGTCTGTTACTGTGTCCTGCATCCCCCAGCAGACTGAGAAGTCCCTGCAGATGGTGCCAAGGACCCCTCCCCCTAAACTCCCTTGTTGGCACTCAGCTATCCTCATCCATAAGCCTGGGGAAGTAGGAGCCGGCCAGGATAAGGATGATTCTCTGGAATATTCTTGACCCTGTTCATGTCCTTCTGAAGTAGAACCAGCCTGGACATCTGCTCCAGGTACCATCCCACCTCCCGCCGCTCCCTCCCCCCCCCCCCCCCCC